CGTCACGTTCACAGCTGGTTGTCCAAATCCAGGTTAGATGTGTGGGGGTTTAAATGAATGACGATTTGCAATGTGATTGTTTGAAGGTAGAGGAGTAATCCGGCTCTATTAATCATTACAATATACTGATGTAAAAAATTTTCAATAAAACGGTAAATTGCAAGTTTTGACACATTGATTTTGATGCTGATGTACAAGACAATTCACTAAAATCAAGTCCCTTTTCGACATAGCTCATGTTTAGGTGTTTTGTTTATTTGGTGTTTCAATGGATTGCAATTCCGGCGAACATAGAGCAATCATTCACGATACTAATTTTTTACATGTAAGCACGATTCACCGCCCGATATCCCACTGTACCAGAAAGTTTATTTAAACAATATTATTTTTTTTTTAACAATATGACAGTTATATTAAATGTATTGGGTCCATATGACGATAACAACTAATACAGCAGTTTGAAACGTTATATTAACCATACATGTTTGTATTTATATCCTAGAAAATAGTTCACTTGTTAATAGTAAAAAATGGCATTAACATATCATAAATAGAGTGACCTATTATGACCTCTGAGAAATAACATCACGTGCTGGTTAATATAAACATCGTGAATTTACAATTAATATATTTCCTAGAACTGTATGAAGATATTGGGGAAGGCGGTCCGTGTGGAGAAGACAAATTCTACTGTCCGGCTGATAGAATATGTATAAGTGAATATTGGGTCAATGACGGCACAGTGGACTGTCCGTCTGATTGCTATGACGAGGAACACCTCAGAGGAGACTGTGGTAAGTTTTCACTTCTTTTATTAGGACCATGATTATGATGGGTCTACAAAATATCGAAATATTTTCCCCAATAGGAAATGTCTGAAAATAAATACAGAAATGTTATAGTCCTGTTTACTAATAACATAGTACATACATAATTTTACAAAAAATAATAAAGATCATAACATTTTATAAGCAGTTCGAAAGACAAGGCTCAAAGATGACTTTTACTGGCGGTGTAGCCATACAAATATTTTCGTTGACATTATATCAGTATTCAAAGGTTTGAACACAAAGTTTTTATTTGACAACAATATTTTCGCATGGGAAACCATTTTATTAGGTATTTGGTAATCTTGATCTCTGTGCCGGGCTGTGTTGTGTTGTGTTGTGTTGTGCTGTGCTGTGTAGTGTCAATGAGCACATAATAATTCACAATTTTAACATTTTTACTGTGTGTTTTTTTTTTCGTTTAATAGAAGCAATATCTTCACCGGGAACTGAAGATGACAGTTAGTAAAGTTGTTTAATTTCTAAAAAAAATTCGATCTATCAATGATTGAAAACAAAAGATATTGAACGTCATATTTCACCGCCATGTGACAATAACCTGCGTACTTTTATACACCATAGGCTATGTGTGGATTCTACTGGTATTGCTGATTGGTATTGCATTGATAGTGGTCTTAATTATTGGCGTTTACTATATGTGTAAGCGACGCCGCTCTAACAAGTAAGGCTATGTTTATGCAAAACGTGCATGTTTTTTGTATTGGTAACATGAGATGTAAGAGTGTGGAATAATATCTCGTTATCACACCATGTCACGTCACGTCATATCACGTCACATCACGTCGCGTCGCGTCACATCGCGTCACGCCACGCCACATCGAATCACGCGTGCATCTAACGGTTTTTATTAACTATTAATATAAAAGACTTATTTGTAATTGCATACTGACAGTATTTATTTTCAACTCTAAACATCAGGGGCATCTACCTACATAGTGGCAGTACTAACATGATGGACAACCCTGCCTTTGGTTACCAAATAGAAGATGCAGATGTGAGTTTGAATAAGAAAAATCCGTTTCTTGCATTTCACGCAAATATACTCCTCTTATTTTGAAATGCCATAGCAGTTGTCATAAGATTATTACACATCTTAACCACCACCCACTATTTTGTTTTCAGTTTCCAGTCGGTAGTTCGTATGACGACATGATGGAGGTAAGTAGTTCACAACAAACCAAATAAAGCATACACTGTTTTTATATATTGCGTTTTGATTCCCATACGTGAAGTGAGTACAGTATAAACTCATTCGAGATGTAAAACTATACAAATTCACTAGATTTCACTGTGTCAATGTGTAAAAAATGCATGAACTTGTATACTTAATACATGCAACGTATTGACACTGTGTTCATTTTGCAATAGCAATCGAACATAATATTTAAAAAGCGTGTAGCTATACTCCATATTTGGAGGCAGTACGTATACATCATTGATGTCGACCACTTGACACATAGCAGATACAGCACGAAGCATTGTCGTACTGACTGTAAATTGAGTGTTATGGTGCCAATATGTGTTTATCAATCGTTGATCTGTAATATCAGAGGTACATTACTTGGGGTTTGCAACGCGCATAGTACTGTACGGTGACATCATGCCAAGATCCCATTCAAGTCTCGTCTCGTAGATAGCGAGACTGATGCTTACGACCTTCTGACATGACATAGGCAGTTTGTAATAAAACAATAAAACATGTATTACCGCATTCATAGTGAAAAAATGTAATACATCGAAAATGTACAGAAAATATAGTTATCGTAATCTGTCATCGCGAGCAGCTATTTTGATCTACCTGGACATCTCAGTATTCTAGTTACCTCGGGCATGCGCATTCGCATTTTTCTGAGTTGGAACGCTTATGCGAGAGCGAGATTGAAACGGGACCTTGGTATCATGTCACCGTAGTTGCAAACCCCAAGTAATGTACCTCTGGTAATATTTGTTACCGTTATGTCTTCGTAGGAAATTGACGCATGCGCCGTGGACAAAGACTCTGATGATGATAATATGATTGACACTACGCTAGCAGAAACACCGCGGACTAGGGCAAAGTTCATTCCTGAATCAAAAGTATAAGAACCAACTTCATTTAAATAATTGTTACATTTAAATACCTACCATACGTTACTTTATTACAGAATGTTGGATTTATAAAAAAAAATAACAACACAATAACTGCATGACGTGTTGACGACTGGAAGGAAAAATCGTGAACTAGCCATTTTACTCTATTTACTCTATATCGATATGATAGTTTTAATTCTCGACATATTGTACTCATACCTATTACACCCATATCTCTAAAACTGGGAATGTTTTAGACAGTATGCCCAGATTTGATTCCAATCATTTATCCATATCCATTGCTAAGAAACGACAAAAACAGGCATCGTTTTATATAATTAAATCAAAATTGTCAGCAAAATGACGTATTACGGTAAAGTACAAGACACAGTTTTACAAACGTTTACATTTTTTGTACAAAAATATATTTTAATCGCAATGACAACGTATGCAACGTTCTTCATCTAAATGTAAAAATTAATCAGTTTCAAAAAATAAAAGTATGCTCTGTTCTTTTATTGTGAATCAAGACTTGTCATTTCAACCCTGGATATATGACCAATTTCCGCATGACACCACTAACGCCATCCGAACTTGTGCAGGTTACCCTCCCCCCCCCCCCAAAAAAAAAAACGAAAGAAATTTCACAATGTCGAAAACCGGAATGGTATTACTTATTAATGTCTGGGACTATTAAATGCCGCTGTTAGCGATTCCCAAGGTTTTAAAGATGGGGATTTGCTGAAATGGTTGGTTGAGTCTCTGTATACCGTCAGGGAAATGGGAAACACTGTCCGAGTTGGCAATGTACTTGGATGTACTCATAGACGACGATGTAGTCGTTCAGCATAAAACGACACGGTTCCGTATAAGCACTGGCCATCCTTGTATAATAAATATCATATAATATATCCATTCAAGGAGACATTAGTGGCCCACGCTCAGGCAATTAAAGTTTCAATTATATTGTGGATAGACAAGAAACATAACAAACTGTTTTTATACTATGATTAATGACGAAGGAAACCTTATTTTGTTAGATGTAGTTGACGTAGCGAAAGTCCACGGTGTGTGTGTTGATTAGAAACTGCCTTTAATGATTACGTCATCATCATCATCATCTTCATCTCATCCTTTCAAGCCACTGCTGGCAGGTGGCCTCCACAACAGCTTCATTATGTTGTGGGGTTGAACCGTAACTCACCACGCTGGTTCAATGTGGGTTGGTGAGTTGCCTATTGCTCAATCGCTTGGACAACAGGGCTATGAGGCAGGTAGTACGAGGTTACATTTTACCCGTAGTAAGTCAGTTCGACCTAAGTTCACGTCATACAAAGCAAATCAACTACTAGTAATTGGAATGATCAGATGACGTGTTCAGTAAATGGACAACAAATGTTTGCGCTGTTATTCAAATAATAAGTGTGAGATCATTTCTTAAATATGGCAATTAAGTACAGAGTCCTTGATTTGCTGATTTGTTTTTGATAATGTTTTTGTGTGTACTTGCTTTTTATTTGTGTGATGGCATTTTACTCAAACGGACGTTGGCGGCGCTCTCGAGAGACAAAGAGAGACTTCTTGTACAAATATAAAGTACAAAAAATTGCTTCAAATTCTTTAGAGGAATTTTAAAACAGTTCTATCTTCTCCTTCTCCACCACACAATTCAATTGTACATTGCAACAGACTTAAGTTATCGAGTTTTGGTTGGTGCAAATTAATTAAAAGGGGCATACTGTAAAGTACTTTATTTTCGCTTGGAATTAATTTGAATCATTCATTCAGTGAAAATAAAATCTAGCGAATATACAAAAATGTGCTCCTTTTCCTATATTTTACATTAAAATTGTCAAAAAACAGTGAAAATAAACTCCATACAGCGAAGATTAATTCCAGCTAAAATAAAGTGTTTTACAGTATTCAAATAAGGACATGTATGTTGAATCTTTTCACTTGCCCGAGTCAGTGGAGTCAGTGTTGTGTTATTATTGTGCTGTGTGCTGCCCTCTGTCGAAACCTACGGAAAAACTAAATGTGAAAGTGGCGATGACGTCAATGATGTCGATGTCCCGGATGATACCACGGGTGAATCCAATATGGCGGTGTGTGTGTGGATGAAATTGTAGTCGTGGCTTGATTTTCTGCCGATTCTCCACAGTTGTGTACCGCTTTGCCATTTTAGGAGAGAGAACTATAGGAAGTATCTATTTTATAAAGGTGAAATATATCGATAAGAACAATATGTTTATTATGGACTCATTATCACTATATTCGTTCTTGACCGTCGTACCGATCAAGTCGCAAATTTGCGACTCGTTTCCGAGTTGCATTATACATTTTTTTTTTGCATGATTAGATTCTCAGAAATCCCGGTGTTCATATACTATGTATTATAGATATTTTCATTTTATACATTTATTTGTATGTCCACGTGTGTTTTTAGATACTAGTATGTGTATATGTAACGTATGAGTATAGTTTGGTCGACGTGATTGATTGATTAATGACGACGTCCATTCATTCGTATGTGGTGGTCGATTATATAATCTGAGCGGCGTGTACAAATACAGTACGATTATTGTTAATCAGAGGTATTATATTTTTCGGTTAAAATAGAATGAAAACATTGGGCTATTAAAAAAATACAATACTCATACCATAGTGACTGTATGTGTGTTGTTATTTACCAGTCAGCTATACTTTTTTTAATTAAGGTAGAAGCCACTCATATATGAAAATACCCAGAATATATTCATTTTGCAATAAAATATACTCTAGGGAAATATCAGGATATTGACTCAAAAAAAGTTGGGTCACCAGCCTTATTTTCGAGAAATTCATGGTTGTATTTGAGTGGAATGTCGCCATTTTGGCAGTATTATAATGACAGAGGAGCAATTTAAGTGTCATGTGTTCATTAACTTTTATTCGATTTTGATTTTTAATTTCATTTGTACATTTGCATGAAACAATGTCATAAACTGAATAAACCAAACCTTCGTTGAGTAAACACATATCACTCTGCAGTCAATATGTAACTCCTACACATTTCCCGCTTCAGAATAACTTGTCAAGATGATGGAAGAAGTGACGACCACCCCGGATGACTCCTACGACAGTTTGGATGAACAAATGATGGATAGACCTAAAGAAAGATGGGCACCGCTGGGCGCCATAGCTAGTCCACCACACATGCAAGCTCAAGAATCAAGGTATGTGAAAACATTTAGAGATTAATAGTGGTTGTCTCTGATTATAAATTATGAAGTACAAGATTTAGGTAAGATAGAGGTAAAAAAGAGATTGTACCTCCATGGTTATTATAACAAGATGCATCTCTAAATAACAAAAAAGAAAGAAAAAGTAGAATTCTATCTATCTAGTATTGCTGCACAGCCTGCATAGATTTTTACTAATGTCAGTATTACCCCCCCCCCCCCCCTGTAAAGATAATCACAGAACAGTGACTGCACAGGCTCACAGATTCTATTCTCTGCAGTGCCTGTAATTATTCCTTGACATCATGTATTGTCTTCGATTTTTTTTCTTCATTTTTTTTCTTATGGTTTACATGGACTTAATGGCAAATAGGTGAACTTAAATTACAAGTCATGCTTTTTTCAGCCCCCAGTTTCATGGAAGCTACATGTAGAATTGTTTTGCATGTATGAATAATGCTTACAAAATATATGTACAAAGTTTCTTTAATTCTGTAATTCCATGAAATTTGATAAGGGGTGTATCAGTGGAAATTTTACTAGAGTTCTGAAGACTGAGTCACTATGACTTTATCATGAACACCATTAAATCGTACAATCAATAAAATTCCAAGCAGTGGAAATGAAACTAATCTAAACCGAATTCTATATCTGATGTTTGTAATCCTACGCCATGTCGATGGAAAACAGTTGTAGTTTGCTGCTACAATGTTTATGATTGACACTGGAACTGAAATTTTTATGATTACAAAATTCATAGTAAATTCTGTGTTGCAAAATTATTATTAAAACTAATGTCGCAGTATTATAGGCCATCATCATACATTCACTCTTAGAAACAAATCTTGCAGTATATTCAATTTTTGTATTAAAATGGGAAACGAAAGACTAAAGTGTAAACAAAATAAACATGTTCCATGATTCTATGAGTACTTGAAAATTTAATGAAGAGCTGGCGGCTCAGTACCATCTGATAAAACAGTGGTTTCGTACATTTCTGCAATGCTGCCCCGAAATGTAGCCTTCTTCCATTCATCATCTTGTTCACGTATACACTATATTAATCAGACTTACTGAGTTATAGGGATATCTCGTAATTTTCATGAAACATTTAAGAAAAAAGAAGTGGATTAAAGTCCAATAAAGCATGTTAAACCAAATACTGTAAAATGACTAATTTTCACTGGATTGCCTTTTCAGGCAAATTCAGTGGGTTTTAAATTCACGGTTTTATCATTTAGATAATGTGTTCTATGCACAATTTTACATATTCACTGGGTTTTAATTTAGGGCATTTTCCAGTCAGCGAAATTAGCAAAATTAAAACCCAGTGTATAATTAATCCTTTTACAGTAGCAACAATTTTATTGGATATAACATTTTTTTTTTTTTTTATCAGTATTATATTGTTAATGAATCACCTTTTCAACTTTATCTACATATGAAATGACATGGTGTACATTGTAACAGCTGGTTCTGATTCCATGTGAGACATTACTAATTTCTATAAATACTTTTTACCACTTTTAGTCAGTCAAAACTCAAAAGTCAGTGTAATGTTTTGCAGTACTGATTATATTCCATTGCAAGTTTAAAGACAGTGAGTCATAGTGGTTTTTGTGAATTTTCATCTCCATGATTGCTGTCAAATATTCATAGTGCAACAACTGATAATGATGTAAACAGTTTACTGTACAAATGCATGTGCATGGTTGAAATTAGGGATGGATTTACTATATGCAAACTGTAAATACTTGATTATCATTCTGTTTTAAATGTCTACCAGAAATATTATGACGTTGTGTCTGATACATTACATGTAGGCACCTGCTTTCATAACTATTACTAGTACCCTGTCCTCAAGAGATTCCCTTATACTCAAATATTGTATCACTGTTTTATTTATTGTAATTATATTTGTACCATTGGTATGGTTTTAGTCTACTATCAGCAAAATGAGCAAAAAATAATTGAACCCAGTCATCCCAATACATGTACAGTAATACAGACTAAATAAACAAGTCAGCAATATGATAAATGCTGCAGTACATGGTTCAGCATAAATGCCTAGTAATATTATCTTCATCATTTGCACCATCTGTCATCACTCACACTCAGTGAGTAATCTGTGTAGACTTGTATTAATAACATATTTACATTGGTCCCAGGCTCCAAATTTGTACATGCAGCGGTTTTATCATGTAATGGATTTTTTTTTTATACATGATACAAACCCAACAATGTACATGTATATCTCTTCTATACATGAAAACAGTGTTTTGAACCAGCTTGGCTTCACTTTTGAAGAAGTTGATCCTATCATTCAGAAATTAAAAGCCATGTTATTCCCATCACTTTGTAATGTAACCACTGCATTGGTGGTTACTATTAGGTCAGTTTTGCTCTGAATGCGGTACATTGTATGGTGGTAGTTGTGAATATATCAAGTCTATGATAGACATTGACATGAATCTCTAACACACAGACACTACTATCCAGATATTGTACAAATCCTACAGCTTTTATTCGTGTACATCCCATAATATGCATTGTCAGTACTCTTTACTTTAAAGTGCTATACATGTGTATGTTTTTGTTATTCTCTTCTGGTATTTGTTTATGTACATTAAAATACACCCTTGAAATAAGACGCATAGCCTAGGATGTATGTACCGATATGTGCATGGTTATGTCTCTGGTTTGATGACAGCGTTATGTCATTTTACAATTTATGTCATTTTAATAATCATGCTGTGTTTGAGTTGATATACATCTCTTGTGTGTTATTGCTTTGATGAAAATGGTTCTAACTTTGTGCAGATTAAATCTCTAATATGAGTCTCCAAACAACACAATGGAGGGCAAGCTGACACTAAAAAATGTACATGTGCTGATTCCACTAAAATCCAATAGCACTTTGTTTCTTAGTCTTCTAATCAATGAACAAGTGCACTGTATGATATACAGTATAGCGTAAAGTAATTACTTTGAGGTGTAGAAATGTGTGTTATGCTTTCTAATCAATGATTAGCATTTTGTAATCAGCTCCCAAGCTGCCACTATGAAATGTGTCTGTATATTGACATCAAATATCTGCGCCATTTTGCTGGATCAATCATTTTGCTGGATCGATCGAGGGTGGTACAACTAGAACTTTGCATAAACGAAAGAATTGCATTTACCGGTACTCCATGCTGGATTATTACAACATGATTTCTTTTTTGATGCAACTTTGTCATTTACATTAAAGTTGCGTACATGTACTAATAGAACAAATACAGTATAAAGAAGCAGAGATCACCAAGCCAGCCAGCTATTAGAAATGTGTAAATAATAATATATTTTGTTACATCTATGAATATTTTCTTTGCATCCTTGGTTACTATTATATCATTTATATACAATGCTTGCTTCTTTTATTAACTCAAGAAATTCCCAGACGTAGAGGCAACGGTGCAGAGAATATATGTACCAATATATATTCCTCAGATAATCAATAAAAGTGTTTCATCTCCGGTGTCGCAGATAGTAATGTCGTCGACATTTCAATTAATTGCTGTCTCAGTGCTACTCTATGTGGACGACAGTCTGACAAGGAACATTCATTAGTGCGACTCATTAAGGAAATTGATTTTCACAATCAATAATTGAACTTATCAATCATTTATTTCATTACCTACATTTCACTTTCACGCATAGTTTGATACATGTTTGAGTAAATTAATGAATAACACATTAATAATGTACATATGAAGAAAAAATATATCATTATTTATAATGAAATTCAAACATGTACATTTACAACCAACGTTTGTCATAACTTTGGTTTGGTGTGCATTAAAAATTAACAAATACTAAGGAATGTTATTTTGATACTGGTAATATTGTATGTATCACATAATAATATCTAGTTTTGTTAAAATAGAAATAATTAACATATTAATTAAAAGCATGAATTTGTCCCATATTCTTTCAAAGATTTTTGAACAGGTCATAAAGGCAATGGGAAATTATGTTCGTCTTACCAAAATTAACAAAAAATTTGTATAAAAAGATTCAAAATGTAGATGTTCATATAATGCCCACATTAATTTTATTTATAACACATCCTACTCTGATGAAGCAGAATTAGCAATGGACTACCATGATATTTTGAATGTATTTTATTTTTGTTTAACATACATCTCACTTAAGCCCTTAAATCAATGTCATCTGTTTGAGTAGCTGCATATTATATTTGTCAAATTCTTTTAGAAATACGAGAGTACACCCATGTTAGCAACTTTTAACATGAATCACCTTTGCATCTACATGTATGTCTTTTGCTGTTCACATGAAATTACAATATCTTACCAGTATGCAGCTTTATTTATTCCTGTTACTAATATTTTTTATAACTATTTAGTAATATTGAGTGTTTTCTGTTGTGAAAATTATGCCACTGAAACATGCAAATTAAATTATGTTAAAATTAGGGGGAGGGCAATCAAATATGGAATGTATATGGCTATTGTTTATTGAAATGCCGTGTATGGTTATAATGCATACATATACTTAAAATTCTGTGGCTCTTTTTTTTTTGTTATTTCAACTCATTCACAGTGATCAACCATAAGGACGGCAATAGAAAATATTGAAACGTGGCAGTCACATGGTTCCATAAGAATATAAACACCATGTTAATACTACTTTTCTATAGTACTTGTAGATAATAGATAAGGTTGCTATGGCAACTTTGCCTAGTAAAATGCCCTGCAATTGCTGTATACTGACGTCAATGGGTCGGCAGGATACTGTGAAATATTGTTCTCCATTATTTATAAACTCTCATTTCTAATACTGCAGATATGAAAAGCTGTCACAATATACACTTCAAACAAATTCCCATACATTTCGTTAACAGTCCCATGTAGAACCCCACACTCCTACCGCTAGTGAATATTATCTGACTAATGCGTGTACTGTACATTATTCAGTAAAACTGCACTGATTTGTTTTTCTGTATCCATTTTTGTGTTACCATGACAATTATTTATATAATGTTATCTGTTTAAAATAGTCTTTTATACTGAACAAATAAAACATGCATGTTTGGGTTGTTTTGTTTTGAAAAGTCACTGTGAGTAGACAAATAGATTTTATTGAAAAGATTTCATTTTAATGAGGTTGCCGTGAAATGCCTCAATGCGTAAAATGACGCAAATAATTCCTCCTCATATTCTGTTATTGCAATAAATTTGAGAAACTCAATACAGCACAACAAATTATACACTGTGAATTGTATGTGGTCGCAATGTTATAAAAACCAATTGTGATGATTGTTGTGGTGTGTTATTGCGATGCAAACTCCACTCAGATGACGTACAAAGGAACATCTGATTGAGAGATTTCAACACTGGACCAATCCATTTCATAGCCTTTGCCTTCACTGGTAGTTTAATACACTGAAATGGCTGGGTCATGTGAAGCATCCTCGTTAAGGTCAGTTAGTTATTGGTTGCCATGGTGATAGACTTCTCCATATCTGATAATGTAATCAACTTCAGCTGTTGCTAGAAACATGGAGTGGGTGGATATCATGATTTCTTCTCAGTAGATACGTGTCATATTTAAATGTTCTAATGTAGTAAATTTGTATATACATGTGTCAACCACTGCACGTGCAAGAAAGAAATTGCGACTTTGGGAGGGATGGAAGTGTGTTCCTTCTGTATGCAGCTGTTAAAAATAGAACAATGTACTTACTAATATTAAAAGAAATATATATTTAAATGTCATAAACAATCATAAATATGCAATGTGTTATCATATTTGAGGCACGCGTACATTTGACTCCATATGTTGTCGGCAGTGTCAATGAAATGATTCAAAATAAAACGATTTTTAGGCTCAAGCATTTTAAGCATTTTTTTTTGTTTGTGATCTACATTTACAATTTTTAAAAAAATTATGAAGGTAACAATTTCATGGCCTCACTAATTTTGTGAATGTACCGGTACATACTTTTTTTTACGAAATATACATAATCACTCCTAACAATGGGCATAATTTCCCCACTCCAATTTATTAGTCATTTTAGGCTATAATTGCTGAAAAACATGCTTCTTAACAGGTATTTTTCTGTACGGTATTGTACATGTATAAGTGTTATTTTCATAATATTCTGTTTAGTACATTGTTTTTGTGTATGAAGTACATCTTTATTGTGTGGTTTATACATACCATGTGCTATGAGACAGATTGACACGGCAACATACCTGTACATTAAATTTAATTACTAGGATGTAATTTTCTGTTGTATTTAATTTTGATATCATTGATCTTTATTCCAGAGATATCCATAAATGAGTAGACTGAGTGGGTTCCTTAAATGCTGTGGCCTAATCCATATCAAGGAGCAGTCGTTGTCATGATCTTTCATGGCTTCCATACTATGAATATCAACTTTTATGAATTTTGGTTAAATGTGGTGTTTATTTATACCAAATTGCATTGATTACTGCCTTTTGATTTCTTAACTTGAGACAAATTTTCTAAAATTTCAGGAGTCCAGGGAATTTGTGAAATAGCAGTAAACATTTTACTTGGGTCTTTGAGACAGTAAGTGGCAGTGTCTCGATTTATGAAACATGAAAGCAATGAAAATTTGATGGTGAAAAAATGGTTTAATATAATTAGTCAATTTTATCTCATTTTTTCTCATAATGATATTGAGATGTAATCATACCTGCTTTATATAAAGCTCACCTCTGTCTATAGTGACCTCGTTTAGGCAGTCCCAAGGCATTTTGTATGAACAGCCTGTGTAAGAACCACCTGCCTACTGCAAAGTACATGTATGCACAAAGACAGTACAGGGGTAGTATCGACTCACTGATGTGCAGCAGAGGTCGATGCGATGGTGTACTGTGCATACTTTTAGGTATACTCGTAATGAGAGTCTGAGTATCGACTGATGTGCAGTGATGTGCGACCGCATACTGTCTGAGTGTTCAACTACCATTGATCCTGCTATATCAAAATTGGGTGGTTGCACAACAAATTGATGTGTACTATTTCTGATCAAACAGAGAGTCCAGGACTACATGTACATGTAAGATTCTATGGTCTGTGGTGAAATAAGTAAAATCTATCTTTTCTTTCTATTTAATGAGAATATTTAATAATAATGTACATGTACATTAATAAACAGCAAGTCTGTCAACAAGCAATTTGTGCAGATAAATTTCTGTAATGTAAATATAATGTGTTCTCATTGTGTCCACCATACATACATTTGTACAGACATGTAGCAATTTGCTGAGTGCAGTTGTGTTGGGAATTATGCTTGAATCAGAAGCTACACTAGTATTAGTGTGGGCTTATTTGATTTGTACATGTATATACTAATGTGTGGTCATGTCAGAAGTAAATGTTGCTCCGTTTCGCCTTTAAATGAACTCAGTCACCACCCAGTAGTAATTAATGCAATATTTTTTATGATTAGGATGGTGTGTTGTTCTGCATACATGCTCAAGATAACACACAATGGTAATCAGTTAAACAGTCCCCTCTGAAACTATTAGTTTCTCACTTTGATATTACCTGAATCAATTTCTGTTAGATTGACAGAATGTGTGTGTTTTTTTGCTCCGCTGTCATTGTAGATGACAGAGCAGAGCTGTTCATATAGGTGATTGTCTGTTGTCATCCGTCAACGTTTCATTTTCTACTTTTCTTGATAACTACCTTCTCAATTGCTTCGATACTTGCTATGTGCCTTGGGTGGCCCTCTGTCAGATTTGTTCACTTTGTGACAAAATTTTCAATTCTCTATTTTTGGCGAATATTTTTTTTCATTTTTGGTAAAAAATCTTATTTTTGACTTCTTCTTGAAAACTACCAGCTCAATTGCATTGATACTTGATATCAAATTTAGCTGGCAGTTTTCAAGAAGATGTCTTATGGGTGTGCATTGCTCAACTTGGCTACCACAATGTTCTTATAGGACAGCGGAGCTATTTCAACAATCAGATTGCTTGTTTTCCCGTCCATTGACTGAGCCATGGAAATAGAAAAAAAAAACACGTTTTGGCATTCACAACATTTTCCCCATGCATCACATCAACTGTACAGAGCAAAGTATGATATTGTATTACTAAAAAAGAACTTCTTGTCCCCAGTTATAACAATAAGCACAATAGCTGTCATTGCAACTTTCATTCTGCTGCATTTTGTTGTGTATAATATTTCATACATGTGTCATGTGTATGTCCATATGGCTTGACTGAACCTAAAGTTTGGTCGGAATATTACACAATTCTAGTTCTTCACCATTTGTTTTTCTTTCATTGCAGTCATGTTGATGCCTATCAACAATTACAGAAACTTGAAGAAGAGCAGGAACAGTTGAACACTTCATTGCTGGCTCTCACCACACATTTCGCACAAGTCCAATTTCGCCTTAAGCAGATTGTTAGTGCTTCTCAAGATGAAAAGGAGGCAAGTCCTATTTTCTTTATACAATACATTAAATAGATACTGTAATGCTTCCATTGATTGGGTCATGAACAAATAACCATTGTTGGAAATACAAGCTGAATTGTTAGAAGAAAATTAAAACAGAAAAAATGAAATGTGGAAACAAATCATAAAAAAATTACAATTTTTGATGTGACTGGTAATGTGATTGTAGAACTAAAAATGTCAATGAAGGTAATTTCAAACAGAAAAAGTGTGAAATGTAGAATCACAGAAAGAATGTAATTAAAAAATCATCAAAGTGCAGTGGTGTTATCGGAATGTGGCCATGCTCTGACATGGTCCAATTGCTAGAGGAAAGCAACATTATTGTTCAATCAAAAATCAGTTGGTCCAAATAATAGAGTTCAATTAAAAGGATGAATCTAGTAATACAAGTTAACATCTGTTCAACACTTAGTGCAAAAACATCATGCGCTGCCAGTTTGCTTTAGTGCTCAAGCTGAAATTTAGTCTCTTTCCCCAGATCTAGTAATAGTTGCACTACAAACAATTACAACAAGCAAATGAAGCAATTTCAATTAACTGCCTTTAATACTGAAATGAAGACAGTGTCAGTAGGTCAAAGTGAACAGACCCAGCGTTACCATGCATTCGCTTTCACTTGAGCCTATGGTGTATTTCAGCATATGCATATTAAAAATGTCTGATAACTTAAAAATGGTTGCCCACTCAATGTAGTTACTAATGCCATGTACGTGGTAACGGGTTGCTTACTCAATATAGTGAATATGGCAAGTACGTGGTAAAGGGTTGCCCCACCCAACTTGCTTTATCTTTCATACAATGAATGCGACAACTAGGAGTATTGACATTGCTCTGACTGATACTTAAATCTTTCAGATCATATGTTTCAAGAATGTACAGTGTATTATTTTTCTTTTCAATTGATTATAGGTTTTACTTAAAGAATTGGAGAGCTTTGCTTTCCAAGGATGTCCAGATGTCAGAGGGTGCACCTCACAAGACGCTCAGATTCTGGAAGATTGTGTAAGTTATAAATAAATATCAAATCTGAAATGTTAAGTGGCTAGCATAATGCCATAGTGGCTATAGCAGTATAAAAATTATTTCTACGGAGAGAATGTCACAGATGAATGATGCTATTTGACTGTAGTGCAACACTTTTTTTGTGTGTGTAATTCAGCTGATATAATGGATATAAGCAGCAGATGAGTTTTATATTCCTCTACAAATTTGAAGATAGTGTCACCAATGCATCGCTGTTAACTTGTGTATTTATGTGTGCATAGATGGAAAGTTTATAGTTATAGCTAAGTTAATATACAAGGCCTATGTATGTAATGGTACTCCCATGGTGCATCAATTTTTATTGAGGTTTTTAATAGATCCCTTCTCAGAAAGAGAAACAATTTTACATGTATGTATCAGTACATACACAAGTTTGGCAAATACATGTACTGTACAAGTGTAATCTCCACTGGTATTTTGATTTGTGAAACAATAAGTTTTATTGTAATTTCACATATGGAGTTAATTTTAGCAGATTTCACTTATTAGTCAAAGGCACCATGGGAACATCCCACTTCATTAATAAAGTAGTGATCTTTGTCTACTTTTTACTCCCTGTTCGGACGCAGTCCGAAAACAGGGACTTATATTTTGTCCTTTGTGCGTCCATGTGTTTGTGTGGGTGTGTTCGGATGTCTTAGACATGCATGGACCAATCACAATCATACTTCACACATACATCATACATAATATTATACATACATGTATGCACATGAATTTGTTTCATGATCTGATTCAAGATGGCTGAATGGTGGTCATTTTTCTGCTAAAAAAACATCAAAATCAAGCATTTGTGGATGGATTTTGTTTAAACATACATATGATGGACATTATGGACCTTGATACACATTTTTTTTTCATATCCAATTTAAAATGGCCGACTGGTGGCCATTTTGTTTTAATAAATGGTACATACATTAGAGATTATGGGTTCCTCATGCATGTCATTTTATTTTTCAGATCGGATTCAAAATGGCTGACTGGTGGCCATTTTGTTTAAATGAATATGCTTTTAGAGTCATATCAAAGAAAACTATATATTTTAAATTTGAACTAACTGGGACTGGTGCCATTCATGGCTTGTTCATTTTTTCCTTCACTCAACCTACCTACACACAGTTTAAGATTTATGTTAAGATTCTTGGTATATTTTCAGTGCTATGGCTATCAGTGTATGGTGTATTGGTATGATCATACATCCCTAATGGCTTACACATGAAGTGGGTAAGCTATACATGCCATGTTACTGCTTACATGTCATGTACATGTACTTATCCTAAAGTTGGATTATTTCCCGACAGATTATGGTACTGAGAAATTCACACAATTTGACTGCTACTCATTTTGCTCACATTTTTTCTGTTGCCAAACAATTATGTTTGGTAGAGATTGTTTATTTATAGTCATACAACCCATAGGTATGTGAATGGGTTCATTGCTACCATCAACTGGTTCATTGGTATCATCCACTAATTCATTGCTACCACCCACTGGTTCATTGGTACCACCATCAGTTCATTGGTACCACCCATCGGTTCATTGGTACCACCCATCGGTTCATTGGTACCACCCATTGGTTCATTTGTACCATCCATTGGTTCATTGGTACCACCCATTGGTTCATTGGTACCACCCATTGGTTCATTGGTACCACCCATCGGTTCATTGGTACCACCCATCGGTTCATTGGTATAACCCATCGGTTCATTGGTATAACCCATCGGTTCATTGGTACCACCCATTGGTTCATTGGTATAACCCATTGGTTCATTGGTATAACCCATCGGTTCATTGGTATAACCCATCGGTTCATTTGTACCATTTATGGGTTCATTGATACCACCTTCAGGTACTCCAATATTGTCTGATAGAATGGGTTATTTGGCACCATGCATTAGTTCACTGGTACCACACCCATTGGTTAATTGGTATCACCTGTGGGTTTATTGGTGCCACTCATGGGTTCATTGGTACACCCACGGGTTCATTGGTACCCTCTTTAGGTACTCCAATTATGTCTGGTAGAGTGGGTTCATTGGTACCCTCTTTAGGTACTCCAATTATGTCTGGTAGAGC